TTATAGCGGCCATGTTGTGTCCACATTATGACTTAAAGCTCACAAACACATCAAAGTGAGAGGAACAACTTCCCAATTGTGGAAATGGAAACATCCCAGGAGCATTTGAATGCGCTTTGTCGTTGGTCTTAGCTATTAAAGTGCAGTCTAACTTTAGGAAATGTGTAAACAAAAATGGAAACAGGAAGAATGTGGGAAGATACAGGAAGTGGTGGGTTTGACAGGATGTTCATAAGATCAGTGAGGTTAGTTAGTAACTAATTAGGGGTTAATTTTGGATCAAAAGTAAAGTTAGATGACAATATTAACATCAGTCATGTCTGTAATGTTACCAATCTACAACCAGTTAGCTTAGCTTAGCATAAACAATGCAAACAGGGGGAACAGCTAGCCTGGCTCTTTTCTAAGTAACAGAATGTGTCTACGAGCACCTCTAAAGACAGATAAATAGAAAAGTAAAGCATGCCTTGAATAAATAAGACGGCTGTTTTAGTCAAACAGCACTACCCTGAAAATAGCTCAGATGCCCATTGAATGTTGGACATGTGACCCTTTCAGACGTGGCACTGCAACAATGCTCCTCGCTGACCACTGTTAAAGTACAGGTCTGCTCCCATCCATTCTATAAAAGCCTTCAGACCCTTATAATTGAAATAAACAATATCTCCCAGTTAATTACTGAGCTAAGCTAATTAAAGAAAGGCCGTGGTCCTTTAAATACACCGCTGGGACGCAAGAATGCAGGACACAATTCAAACAGGGAGAAAATAGCAGGGACTCTGTGTAATTTTGGTCGTGGACCGCAGGGGAAAAAATGTATAATTTAAGCCAGAAATTATTCATTTAACATAAACGCTTGTTTTAAAAAACAAAAAGTATTCATTTGGGAGAAGCTAGGGGGAGGTGTGTGTGTGTTTTGTCTGTGATACTGCATGAATACACGGCATTAGTGTGAGCAAATGCTTCGGTGCATGGGTTGAATAGAGTTTACAAGAGTGTGTTCTGTCCACACGCTGTAAGAGTCTCAGAGTGCTGTCGACTTGTGATGTCCCGGTTCGTCTCGCCTTTGAAGCCCCTGCTGCGGCGCTTTAGAGGGAGTGTATTGATGTGGACGGGGGACGACGACTGTGGCTCTATGTGTTCCGCACACACACACACACACACACACACACTGATGAGACAGACAGAGACCTCCCCTGATACTTGGCGAAACACATTGAGGCTAAAAGTGTTTCTAATGGCATTCATCTGCAAACCGTAGCCGTGGATATTCTCGGCCATCGCTGTCGGATAATGTGCATCTGTGTTTTATTTATTTGTCGAACTCCTTTTAACAGGCTGTCAATCGCAGCTCAGATGTTCTCATAAAACCAAAAGAAGACGTAAAGGGCTGCACAGAAAAGGACCGGTTATAGTGAGGACATCTGCAGAGATGAAGCAAAGACGAGAGTCACCTCCAAGGTTTCTATTTATTTCCAGGAGTTTAGCATCTCACTGCAGCAGGTGTACCTCTGGGTGTGTGTGTGTGTGTGTGTGTGTGTGTGTGTGTGTGTGTGTGTGTGTGTGTGTGTGTGTGTGTGTGTGTGTGTGTGTGTGTGTGTGTGTGTGTGTGTGTGTGTGTGTGTGTGTGTGTGTGTGTGGCCTAGCATTACTATACTTGTGGGGACCTACATCTGTTTACACAGTCACGTGTGGGGACTGGCTTCCCTTATGGGGACAAATTGGAGGTCCCCATGAGGGGAATCATTCATTTTAGGGTGAAGACTTGTTAGGGTAAGGGTAAGGTTAAGGGTTAGGTTAAGGTTAGGGTTAGGGTAAGGTTAAGGGTAAGGGTAGGGTTAGGGTAAGGTTAAGGTTAGGGTTAGGGTAAGGTTAAGGGTAGGGTTAGGGTTAGGGTAAGGGTTAGGGTAAGGCATGTGTTGGTTATGGTTAAGGTTAGGATAAGTGTCCAGGAAATGCATGTAAGTCAATGTAATGTCCCCTGAAGTGATGTATACAAGGTATGTGTGTGTGTGTGTGTGTGTGTGTGTGTGTGTGTGTGTGTGTGTGTGTGTGTGTGTGTGTGTGTGTGTGTGTGTGTGCGCGTGCGTGCGTGTGCGTGTGTGTGTGTAGGGATGCTACAGGCTTGAAACGTTCAATCAAAAAGGCACCCAAACAGCCTCGTTCAATTAAATGTATTTTTAGCGCTGTTGCATTTGTGAAACCTAAATCTCCAACTATTAAAGTTGCATTGACAGATTTGACTTCAACCTTAAATCAATGGCTGCAGAATAAAGACACCATGAGGGCTTAGCTTTGTAGCCGATAATCCTTGCTTTCACTTTGCAATTCTGCTCGTCACTGGGTATGACCTCCCAGGGAAATAAAGTGTACGGCACAAAGAAGGGAAACATCTAAATGCAGTTTGTGTCGTGCAGGTAAGCCAATGCTTTTTCCAATGACGGAAGCTAGCACTCCAAACAATGCTAAGAGTTGCAAGATGACGACATGTGTTCATTTGAATAAACCTAAATGGACAAGGAAGAGAGTGCCAACAGGAGAGGGAGAGATAATATTCTAATATTATTTTGGAATATATGTATTGCTTCTTCCCCGCTGCTTTGAAAGAGTTGCCTCGTTTTTTTGCCAGTATCGAGCCTGAAGAAAAATGTGTTTCTAGGAAAAGTAACATGGTCTCTTGCCATCCAAATTAATCAAGATGAAGTGCATTTAATAATCTGAGTAACGGAGGTCAGACTCCAGGTTTAAGTTCAGGATATGTTCAGCCACATTTCTAACTGAGGTCGAGAGTTCACGCTGTGTCTCAGGTGGGCTGCAGCCTGATAAGAGCTGCTGGCCTTGAGGCAATAAAGGGATTACCTGCAGCAGTGTGTTTATGAGGAGAAGGAGAACACACACACACACACACACACACACACACACACACACACACACACACACACACACACACACACACACAGCAGCGAGATGTCAAACAGATGGGGATCTCCCACCCTTCCTCAGTGTGTTGCTGAAGCCTCGTTGCTCTGTGTCGCTCTGTTGTTACCGTTTAATATCGATGTGAGGCAACTTCCCCAGATGGCATTTTCTGCATACTTGAGAAAAGACAGCAGTAAACGGCAGTGTCCTTCTGCAGATCACTACCATGTGTGCGACAATAAATTACAGAGATTTTCTTTTCCTCTGCTTCATAAACATTCTCACACATACTACACGCACACATAATGTATTTGTGTCTTGCGGGGACATTACTGACCGGCTCTTTGTTGTGTCTTTAATGACTTCTGCAGGCTCTGTCTGTGTCTTAGTTGTGTTTTGGAAGCGTTCTTGTGCTTATTGCCAGTGTCACAGTGCAGTGTCTGCTGTAAATAGACGACCTCACATCCAGTATTCTCCTCAGCCGATGATTAGAGGCTCTGGGATCATTCTCGCCCTGACCCCCGAGCTGCACGGTATTTAATTCTGAGTCAGGAGCGCCAGAGTTGACACAGCGAGAGACACTGAGGTTGGAACATAAGGACTATTAATAATAGCCTTGATGAAATCCTTCTCAAGCTCACAAAAGGAAGCAGCTTGACCTCAGACATTTAGCCGTTTCAAACTGGGCACGCCAACAAAGTTTAGTTATCTTTGCCATTTCTACTACTATTACTTCTGCAGCTAAAATCTTTGTTTCTCACCGATTGCTTTACCCCCGAGCGAAGATCCACCAGACAAAGCCTTCAATTTGATGTTATGAGCTGGTTTCATGCTAAATGTCACAGTGTTTAATCCATGACAAAGCTAATGAGTGAGCACTAAAACACATGTAAAGGTCATAAGTCTTGTTAGAGGTCAATATCGGTTTCTGGTGTTGTAATAGTTGGAGTAGCAGGATCCTACTGACCCACATCTATGAGGCTGATAAACAAACGCACATTTAATCGTTAAGATTAAGACCCTCAAAAGTATTGTGTTATATATATATTTAGATCATCCATTTCTTCGGGTGTGTGCAGTGTGTGTGTGTGTGTCTGACTTTCTTCAGGTGTGTGCAGTGTGTGTGTGTCTGACTTTCCTCAGGTGTGTGTGTGTGTGTGTGTGTCTGACTTTCTTCAGGTGTGCGCAGTGTGTGTGTCTCTGACTTTCTTCAGGTGTGTGCAGTGTGTGTGTGTCTGACTTTCTTCAGGTGTGTGCAGTGTGTGTGTGTCTGACTTTCTTCAGGTGTGTGCAGTGTGTGTGTATGTCTGACTTTCTTCAGGTGTGTGCAGTGTGTGTGTGTCTGACTTTCTTCAGGTGTGTGCAGTGTGTGTGTGTGTCTGACTTTCTTCAGGTGTGTGCAGTGTGTGTGTGTCTGACTTTCTTCAGGTGTGTGCAGTGTGTGTGTGTCTGACTTTCTTCAGGTGTGTGCAGTGTGTGTGTGTGTCTGACTTTCTTCAGGTGTGTGCAGTGTGTGTCTCTGACTTTCTTCAGGTGTATGCAGTGTGTGTGTGTCTGACTTTCTTCAGGTGTGTGCAGTGTGTGTGTGTCTGACTTTCTTCAGGTGTGTGCAGTGTGTGTGTGTCTGACTTTCTTCAGGTGTGTGCAGTGTGTGTGTGTCTGACTTTCTTCAGGTGTGTGCAGTGTGTGTGTGTCTCTGACTTTCTTCAGGTGTATGCAGTGTGTGTGTGTCTCTGACTTTCTTCAGGTGTGTGCAGTGTGTGTGTGTCTGACTTTCTTCAGGTGTGTGCAGTGTGTGTGTCTGACTTTCTTCAGGTGTGTGCAGTGTGTGTGTGTCTGACTTTCTTCAGGTGTGTGCAGTGTGTGTGTGTCTGACTTTCTTCAGGTGTGTGCAGTGTGTGTGTGTCTGACTTTCTTCAGGTGTGTGCAGCGTGTGTGTGTCTGACTTTCTTCAGGTGTGTGCAGTGTGTGTGTGTCTGACTTTCTTCAGGTGTGTGCAGTGTGTGTGTGTCTGACTTTCTTCAGGTGTGTGCAGTGTGTGTGTGTCTGACTTTCTTCAGGTGTGTGTGTGTCAGACTGACCGTGTGCCTGTGCAGCCGAACTGTGTGAGTATCCGAGGGCGAGTAGAGCCGTCTCCACCAGCTGAGAGAAAAGGATGTCCTTCCTCACCAACACGAACTCGGAGTGCTCGTCCCTCCCCTCCCCCGCCTCCGTCTGCACCCCCCCATCAGACTCCACCACGCAGAACACAGGGATCATCAGACCTGTGGAGGAAAGCAAGTGCATTTTAGTGTCCGGGCAGAGGTGGAGGAAGGGTTCAGAGGCTTTACTTGAAGAAAAGTACCAATACATTATTGTCAAAGTACTTCATTCAAAAGCTTACTTAAGTAAAAGTACAAAAGTATTATGAGCTCAATGTTATAAAAGTATAAAAAGTCATCATTGTGCCGAAAAATTGCCTATATATATATATATATATATATACTGTATATGACATTTCTAGATAATATTGTTGCATCACATTTGACTGTTGTAGACAAACAAAGTATTGATTGACTTTTTGTAAAATATTTAAGACTCTTTTGAGCTTAAAGAGTAAGTCTACTAGTTACATTTTTAGAGATGGATTTTGTTAAAAGTATCTAAGGCTAATAAATAGTGGAGTAGAAGTATACAGTATACATACATAGCATAACATTGAAATCTCAAGTAAAGTAAACAAGTAAAGAAGTAAAGAAGAAGTAAAGTAAAGAACAAGTACTTAGGTACAGTACCTGAGTAAATGTACTTAGTTACTTCCCACCTCTGTCTGGCTCTTATTGTCCGTGATCACAACAGTGTGTCCTCTATAGACAGCGGACATATGGATCTTATTTACTGCGGATCAACCTTTGAAATCACTTTATTTTTCTCACACACTCTTCAAAGTGCATCGCCTGAAGAGTGTTCGATCCACAGGGGATGCAACACAAATGGGATGCTTTGTTAAATAACCAGTAACAGGGCTGTTCACTGTCACTGGCTTTTTATCTAACGGCTATTAGATAGGAGGCCGTTATAATGGCTGCACTAGCAGATATGCAAAAACTATACAAAGGACGGACGCTGACAACATGTAGTACTTTCATTAGAGGATTAACAAGGGGACCATTTATAGCAACGGTGGGGCTGAATATTAATGTTAACACAGAAGGATGAATCAACAGGATACCTCGGATTAACACAGCTTTGAGGACAGGTGACACCAAACCAAATTCTCAAGAAGTGTTTGCATGAATCACACACACACACACATACACACACACACGCACACACACACAGACAGAAACACACAGACAGAAACACACACACAGAGACACAAACGTACACACACACACACACAAGCACACAGACAGACACAAACCCACAGAGACACACACGCACACGCACAAGCACACAGACAGACATAGACAGACAGACACATACACACACACACTCAGAGACACACACACACAAGCAGACACACACAGACAGACAGACACAGACACACACGTACACACACAGACAGACGTACTCTCACACACACACACACACAGAGACACACAAGCACACAGACAGACAGACACACACGTACACACACACACACACACACACACACACAGAGACACACAAGCACACATACAGACACACACACACACAAGCACACAGACAGACATAGACAGACAGACAGACACACACACACACACACACACACACACAGACGTACACACACACACACACACACACACACACAGAGACACACAAACACACAGACAGACACACACGTACACAGACAGACGTACACACACACACTGTGTTTTTCTATGGAAGTGAAACTATTAGACAGTTATGTGCGGAAACTATAATTTGGGAAAAGCCAGAATACAGTAAAACGTTTGATAAATCCAAAATAAAGAGCTGTTTGAACATTAAAGCATGGAAACATGTCACAGTAGACGCACTTAATACAAATCCTGAACATACGCATAATAAGGCCCCTTTAAAAAACATATGTTTGACGACACTAGGGTCTTCTTTTGTGGTATTCCATCATTAGACTATTGTATTTCAACGAGTGCTGTCCTTGAGACATTGGTACGTAAAGGTGTTTAGCCTACTGGTATGAAAATGAACTTGAGCATTACGAATGAGGAACTTAAAAACATTGTTGTCTCAATGTTGAGATAAATCCAGTGATATTTGACTTTCTCCCAGGTGACGTTAGAGTGAGTATCAGATCCCAGCATCGTGCCTCTTGGCTCGCCGCTCTAATATCACTCCTTTTTCCTGAAGGGCTTTTGGTTTTGGGCCACCTGTCAGCGGCCAATTAATTAAAGCTCTCAGAAGAAATGATGGAGAGAGAGCATTAGGCAGCGTCCCAGCACTAATAATAATACAGTGCCACACAATAACACACACACACACACACGCTGCTCCACGAGGTGCACGCAGCATCACATCCAGCCGTTGTTTTAATCAGTCAATTCCTATATTTCTATTTCCTCCTCATTAATCACTCCGCTCAGTCCTCCAGGCTCTCATGGAGTGAATTACACACCGGAGCACGCTGCCAATTCAAGTAAGTGAATTTCCCCCAACAGGGAAATATAACTGTCAACACGGAGCAGCTCCCACTCCTCTCTCTCCCCCGCCCCCCGCCCTCTGTTTCTCCACCTCCTCTCCTAGTCCCAGTGTCCTGTGATCTGGGTCGGATGATGCCTCAAACCTCTAACCCCTCTAATATGTGCGGGATGAGAGAATGGGGGTATTCAAATAAGATATGTGTGTGTGTGTGTGTGTGTAAGTGTGTGTGTTTTGGCGGGGTCTGTTGGATGTGAGTGTCACTGAGTTTGTGAATGTGGACATAGGGGTTGTCGGTGTGTGTGTGTGTGTGTGTGTGTGTGTGTGTGTGTGTGTGTGTGTGTGTGTGTGTGTGTGTGTGTGTGTGTGTGTGTGTGTGTGTGTGTGTGTGTGTGTGTGTGTGTGTGTGTGTGTGTGTGTGTGTGTTGTGTGTGTGGTTTGGAGGAGACACGTTGAGTTTCCTGTCTTCAACGACACCCCGTCATTATTTCAGACCAACCGTCCTCCTTTTTTCTCACACAGAAATATTTTTTTACTACAACTCTGGTTCCCAACGTTTGATATTCGGCTGAAGAAATGTCGAACTGTATTAAATCCAGACTACGACACAAACTTCAAGTGTCTGACGGGTCAACAAGTTATGTGTAGTATTCTTGTTGTTCTATGAATTTAGTTTTAGCATTTTGTTGTGTGTTTTTCCACAAGTATATCCTCTCCTTCTTCGCCTCCTTCTTCGCCTCCTTCTTCTCCTCTTCCTGTGGTCAAGTTGTTGATGTTTCTAACTTCTAACTCTTTCCAAACCTCAGACACATGCATCTTTAAAAACTTTTTTCGCAGTCCTGTTTTGACTTTCTTATTATAGCAAAGATCCCAAATGTCAGCTGAAATATGCTAGAAGGAATACTGAGAAATATTTGTGTGAAAGTACTAAAGCACGTAATATCGATAATATCTCTTTTCGGCAAGAGATTTATCTTTTAGAAATTGTCCAAATGTCTTCAGATATTCACTTTAAATATGACATAAATGTGTGAGCCGAAAACATTATGACATTTTTACATACAACATATTCAAGCATTTGTAATTGAACAGAGCTGTCGGTGATTATTCACGCCAATAGACGGTAAGAACAATAAATAATAATCATAGATTTAATTTGAAAAAGACGCTTTACAGATATAGTGAAGAGAAAAGAAAAGAAAGGAACAACAAATAAATATATAGTTAAAGTTAAAGTCAATCACACAAGAACAAGAACATATTGTGTAGAAAGTATATTTTAGTAAATACAAGGGCAGTTTAATATTACCATCAAGACTTTGAGACATTACTGCTAACACATGGTGACACACACACACACACACACATCTCACACACACACCTCACACACACACACACGCTCACACATAAACAAGAACCAACTTCTACAATGAATGCGTGGATCGATGGAGCGGAGTGAGTTGTATAAATCTTGTTTATATGGAGCAATCTCCTTTATCTGGTTGCATGTATTATGCAGTTCCCTCCAGACGTATAGATTATCAGGAACAGCTCTCAGTGCCGCTCGACTCAACAGAGAGAAACTCCTGAGGGAAGTCAAGGACTGAGTGAGAGAGCTGGTAATCTACGTTCTCCATTTCAGCAGATATCGAATGTGCTTATATGGACTAAAGATATTAGCTTGTTGTAGAATCATTTTCTTTTAGCACTGAACCACATTTTAAAAGTGGGTGTTGATCACCTGCACTGCTGTTGAGAGGACATGTTATACCACTGTATAGTTGTTGAAATATAATTGTTTAATATTGTACTACAATGTTCACACACTTCTTGCTGTTATATAAATATATTCTATTTTCATTTATTAAATATTTGTTTAATGTAATATTTAAGATATTTGTATTCCTAATGTATCTTCTTATATTTGTATTTTATTCTATTATTGTTAGAATAAATATTATTATTCCATTTTCTGTAACTTTACATTTTTTTATTTTATTTAATCTTTTTAATACATTTTTTTATATAGATATGTTTCTTCCATCTGTGTTATTTATATTATATAAGAGGCAAAACAAAACAGCCATTTGCATTTATCCAAAGAGACAAAGTTAAATCCTGAAGGCATGCCTACTGGAACCGTCAACAACGACAAGTCCACTGAGACTAAACTTTGATTGAGCTTCTCAAGAGGGTCACAGTCCCCTCACCACTCTGATGTTGTTGTCTCTTCACAGGTTCGACTTCACATTGAGTTTGTGGCTTGTAAACAAACGTCTTCACACAGTAAACAAACGTGTGTTGATGCACATCAGCTCACCTCCGAGGGGCCTCATCGGGGCCCCGTTGTGGCGGATGCGGGGCCCGGTGGGGCTCCCGTTGAGCTCCAGCCGGCTCTTCTTCCCTGGGGGGGGCAGGGCGCTGAGGTCGGGGCTGCCCCTCCGCTCAGGGCTGCCCTGGGTGAGAGGACTCTCCCCCCCGCCTCGCTCCATCCGCCTCCACAGCCCCAGAGGAGCTCCAGCCAGAGAGAACGAGTCTGAGGAAAGTCACAGAGACAAGTTTTGAATTTAGACATTTTTCAAAGTGAGTTAAATTCCACTTTTAACCCTTGTGTTGTTTTCGAAAGCTGTCTCAAAACACTCCAAAATAATGGCTATCATCCAATATCGTTTTAACTACATCATCACTAACTTATTATGCATTCACAACCTCACAATCCTGTTGTCATTTTATTATTATTTATTATGGGCCCAAAACACATATTTAAGTAGAAAATGGGGTTAAATTCACTTATTATATTCCCTATAGTGAAGACAGTGGATCATTATGTTTTCTGACTGTAATAGACTAATATTAATACTATTCCCCCCAAAAAACGTTTTTACAATGTTGTGTTATTAACTATAGTTCCAAACACATTTAGTAAATATTTAAAGAATTACATTTTTTAATTTAGTCAACACTAGATTATCGTGAAATATTGATATTGAGGTTTTTGGTTAAAAATATCAGATTTAAGAGGAATAGAGAAAATACACGTAAGATAAGACGTTATAGCGAGTTCTTCATCAGCGTTTGTATGGAGGCAGTGAGAGTATACAGTGTTTAATATGTACGAGTTCATACCCACACACACACACACACACACACTCACACTCACACACAATCACACACACACACAAACAGACTCACACACACACAGTCACACACACACAGACTCACACACACACACACATCAACAGACTCACACACACAGTCACTCACACACACACACCCACACAGACTCACACACACACACACATCAACAGACTCACACACACAGTCACTCACACACACACACACCCACACACACACACACACACACACACACACACACACACACACACAGACTCACACACACACACACATCAACAGACTCACACACACACACAGACTCACACACACACACACACCAACAGACTCACACACACAGTCACTCACTCACACACACACACACACACACACACAGACTCACACACACACACACATCAACAGACTCACACACACAGTCACTTCACACACACACACACAGTTCACCACCACGTCACACACACACACACACCACACACACACACACACACACACACACACACACACCAACAGACTCACACACACAGTCACACACACAGTCACTCACACACAGTCACACACACAAACACACTCTCACTCACACACACACAGTCACACACACACACACCCACACACACCCCCACACCAACAGACTCACACACACACACACACACCCACACACACACACCCACCACCCACACACACACACCACACACACACACACACACACACGTCCCCTGATAGAGCAGTGGCAGCCAGACCTCTAATAAAGGGTAATGCATTAGAACCGCTGCCAGGCCGTGGCAGAAGCGCTCGCCAACGTTCACACGGAGCCAAATGGACTTTCTTTTATTTACGACGAGCCCCTGGACAATATGTGAGCATGTGTGACCCTCAGCGAGGAGGGAGGAGAGAGACAACTATGGAAATGAAGTGAGTGAGGAGTGGAAAACAGAGGGTTTCTGCACAGAGTGGCAATGAGCTGAAATGCAGCAGAACAAATGAGGAGGAATGCATGCTTATTGTTTGAGGGTGGCATTTTCCACAGCGCTTGATTAAAAAACTCCTCCTCTTCCTCCTCCTCTTCCTCCCTCAACATTGCTGCAGCTTTTTTTATTGCTGTCGCAACTCTGAGCGAGAACATCTGTGCGGTGTCCCGCCTCTTTCTCGCCTTTTCACTACCTTCTCTTTCTTACAACAACAACAACAACAACAACAACAACAACAACAACAACAACAACAGACAGAAGAAGAAAACCTCAATCTGACAAGTATTCAACGCCCGGGTAGCATTTCAAAATGTATAATAAATTAAAAACATGAGCTTTGGTCGGGAGGAAAAAAGTGTGGGAGGCGAAGAGGACGGAACATTTAAGTGGCAGATTTTATTTAAAAAAATAAAAAGTTCAAAGAGTGACACTGAGTGGAAAGCAATGGGAGTACAGTGAGGCTGTAATTCACAATGTGAGGCTCTGCAAATACATCTAACTGTTAACAATGAAGCTATCATAAAAACTATACAACAGCACAGAGAGAGGAATACACAGCTGCTCACACACTCTGCTTTTATTTATTTTCTTGCTGCGTAGGTCCTCAGAAGTCTGACATGTGAAAACAAAGCACCTTAAAAGTACGTTGATGTTTTAAAAAACGCCTCCATTGGACTCCGTTGTTTACTTCAGGGACATGGTGACGTCACTATGTAAAACTTGCACTTCTAGCGCTCTGGCACATTGTACGTGATAGGCTAAGGGGCGGGACATCTCTAAGAGGTTGACCAATCACAACAGAGCCGGCCAGCTAACCAATCAGAGCAGACTGGGCTCTGGTTTCAGACAGAGGGTGAAAAGAGGTGCTGCAGCACAGACAGTATGAGAACAATAAAGAGCTTTTTGTTAAAGCATGGAGACATGTAGAGACACTACATACTAATGTTCTCACTTATTGTGCTATATTATGATATCGTCGTGGAAACGAGGTGGTACATCTGAGGAATGTGTTCCTAAATTCCTTGGAAGAGTCCAACAAGTGAGGTCAAAGTCTGACTGTTTCATGTTTTTATTTAAAAATAATCCTCCTGAGAATCAGTTTTAATCAGCAGCAGGTCCTAACCTGCCGTATCTGCCCGCTGCTGACGATCCCTATCAAGACCTCGCCGACATCTCACCATCACACACACACACACACACACACACACACCACACACACACACACACACACACACACACACACACACACACACACACACACACACACACACACACACACACACACACACACACACACACACACACCACACACACACACACACACACACACACACACACACACACACACACACACACACACACACACACACACACACACACACACTCCCCGGCATCATCTTATCTCTGCACACATCCCGTTTCAATTCCGTTTCATTTGGTATTTGACAGAAGAGATAAAGGAGGAAATCGTGCTGTGCATTTTGTTTGTCGTTTCTCTCGCTCTGATAAGTCCTTTTATATATTTTATAAAACAAGTTTCACCACGACCAGTGAACCCGAGGTCACGTACGGTCACATTAAGTATCACACGTTAATACCTCTTAATGTGGACACCCATAAGTGTATGCTTGAATAAAAACAGTTACATGACGACATGAAACATGTAAAATAAGAGGTTGTTTTTATATGGAAAAGTGAAAATGTATCGCAAATCAAAGAGAGAAAGTCTCACTGGAGCAAACACAGGGATTTTAGCCTCTGAGGACCATTTACATGCACTAAAACCTATAGAACACACTACAGGAAAGGGAAACAATGCCTCAATATGGACCCTGGAGTAATAAAAGTAACACTCAACTTTAACACTCACATGTAAACACTGCGTTGGCTGTTGTCGTGGCAACAGAGACATCCTCCTCCACAGACATGCTAATCTATTTTATGCAATTATTACAGGCGTGTTGAGCAATAGGTCTTTTGTTCTCCACAGCGTTTTTAAACTGCGTGACGTTGTTCATTAAATCAGACACTGACATCTTCAAACGCCGTGATCGGCCACATCCTAAATCCATCTGCACTGCATTGTTTGATAAGGCGTCAGATAGTCAGAGTTGTTAATAAAGAGGCGATAAGACGCGTAACTGCTATGGAGACGACGGGTAACTAATGTAATGTGTTTCTGATAAGGACAGGGGTCATCACACAGATCCAGATTTATTGCTTCTCTGGGAAACAGTCACCTCTCAGAGGAACTCAGCAATGAATTATTAAGGAGAGAAGCTGCAGGAAAGTAACATTTGAAAGGGTTTTTTATGTGTGTAACATGTCATATTTGAGCCTAATAGAAAAATACACATACATGTTTTTATTTTTAAGAACATTTTCTATTTGTGTCTCAAGATTGCTTCTAAATTCACAGAAAGTTAGAGTTGGATAACGCCTCATTTTGTTCATATCAGTAGTATTTAGTGTCTCTACTTTAAAGAGTCCTCTCCTGCTGATGTTCAGGTGTATATGTAGTGTCTCTACTTTAAAGAGTCCTCTCCTGCTGATGTTCAGGTGTATATCAGTATGTAGTGTCTCTACTTTAAAGAGTCCTCTCCTGCTGATGTTCAGGTGTATATCAGTATGTAGTGTCTCTACTTTAAAGAGTCCTCTCCTGCTGATGTTCAGGTGTATATCAGTATGTAGTGTCTCTACTTTAAAGAGTCCTCTCCTGCTGATGTTCAGGTGTATATCAGTATGTAGTGTCTCTACTTTAAAGAGTCCTCTCCTGCTGATGTTCAGGTGTATATCAGTATGTAGTGTCTCTACTTTAAAGAGTCCTCTCCTGCTGATGTTCAGGTGTATATCAGTATGTAGTGTCTCTACTTTAAAGAGTCCTCTCCTGCTGATGTTCAGGTGTATATCAGTATGTAGTGTCTCTACTTTAAAGAGTCCTCTCCTGCTGATGTTCAGGTGTATATCAGTATGTAGTGTCTCTACTTTAAAGAGTCCTCTCCTGCTGATGTTCAGGTGTATATCAGTATGTAGTGTCTCTACTTTAAAGAGTCCTCTCCTGCTGATGTTCAGGTGTATATCAGTATGTAGTGTCTCTACTTTAAAGAGTCCTCTCCTGCTGATGTTCAGGTGTATATCAGTATGTAGTGTCTCTACTTTAAAGAGTCCTCTCCTGCTGATGTTCAGGTGTATATCAGTATGTAGTGTCTCTACTTTAAAGAGTCCTCTCCTGCTGATGTTCAGGTGTATATCAGTATGTAGTGTCTCTACTTTAAAGAGTCCTCTCCTGCTGATGTTCAGGTGTATATCAGTATGTAGTGTCTCTACTTTAAAGAGTCCTGCTGATGTTCAGGGTGTATATCAGTATGTAGTGTCTCTACTTTAAAGAGTCCTCTCCTGCTGATGTTCAGGTGTATATCAGCATGTAGTGTCTCTACTT